GCCCTCAGAGGGAGGAGACGCCGCCAGGCCGGCCGCGGACCCCGGCAGAACGGCGCTCTGAGGTATTTGCACGGTCAGAAAGTGTGGAGAGTTTCTGAGCCGCTCTTTGCCCGATTTTGACGCAAGAAGCGGTGCAGAAAATCGGGGCTGTCCCGCCTGGGCGTCGCTGCGGTGAAACTCCTCGGAACTGTGACAACTCAAAAATACTAACAAACATATAACCCCAGTGAAACAGAAACTGTTCTTGGAGACCCCCAAAAGCAGAAAGACTTAAGTTTGAAAACAGATTTTACGGGACGGGAAAAGCGGCCATGAAACTTTCTGGCAGCAAATTCAAAGTGCAGAACTGATGGAACGGGGATTTTGGGAGGGGAAGTGGGTGGTGAATAAAGAGAGGGCTAAATAAAACCCTCCAAAAGTGCGGCTCGGGTACAGGTGGGGATCTCTGGGGCAGTCTGAGCGCTCTTTGGTGTGGGGATGGAGATGTGTTCCGTGTCCCAGATGTTGCACATCTGCATTCCAGATAAACCAGTGGAAACTGCCGAGCTCCTACAGAGAGTATCCTGTGCTACCCAGAGGGTTTTGCTACTGCTGTTTGCAAACATCTGTCCTGCTTTTGGCCCAGTTAAAATAATCATACAGAGCCGTGCTGGGGCTGGAGCTGGAGCTGCAGGAATGCTGAAGTGTCCCGTGTTAACCTGCAGCAGGTCCAGCCTTTGGCTGAATTGTGCCCACACTGAACCTGTCGGTAGAAAGTTGGAGGCTTCAGGTCAGGAGTGGAGTTCAGGGGCAAACAGGGCTCTGGTGGATCAGAACCAAGGTCTGATGGTGCCAGATCTGGGGTTCTGTGTTAGGAATGGGGAAGTGGCTCTTGACTTTTGCCAGTTTGCTTCAGCTGTTCTGTTTTCCTTTGTGCTGAAAACAAATACACAGAATTGCCTTCAAGACTGCAAGTTCTGAGTCTTGGGGAGGGAAAGATCAGTTTCCTGGAGCTGAATTGGAGCTGAAGCAGCTTGAGAGCTCTGAAAATCAGGTTGTTGTTACCACTTCAGGCATTCAGAATCAGGCCCCCAGCATTAGACCAGTGTCGATGATCTTCCCTTTCCTCCTGCTCCCTTTGAGTAGTGGGGAAGGGCTGGGAAGGACCTTAAGCTGTGAGGAAACAATTCTGCCAGCAGATAAACCTTCATGCTTGGAGTGTTCTGAGATGAGCAGCCTGCACTCCCATAAAACATGGAATTGGTCCACAGACTCCTCTGGGCTGTTTTGCAGTGGTGTAACTTTTGCCCTGTGTTCAGTCCCAGCCATTACACTTCTGCTCCTTTCCCAGCAGTAACATTCCCTCACAGAAACAGCTTCACTTCTATTGATTCCTCCTAATAGCAGAGAATCCACAAAGCGCCACGTTATTTATTAGACTGAAAAATACCAAATAGTAATGTGTTGTTTTATATTAGATGATCAAGTATAAGAGCCCTCAGTACTGTGGTTAGTGGGTCTGGCTGGAATGTTCAGCTGGAACATGATAACTGGCTGCCCAGAGAGCTGCTTTGTCCTGAAGATGCCAAATATGTGTATATATATGTATATATTTCTGTTTAATCCTTTTTCCCTCTCCCTCTTCCTGCTCTATTCCAATTCTTGCATGCACAAAATACATTTTTCCTTAATACCATTCAAGAACATCTCTGGAAGGACAGATTATTTCTGAAGGGTTTATGTGGATTTCATATTACCAAACCTGCTCTATTGAGCTCTGTTGTAAAGGAAGATGCAGTCCTGATAGTAAATTCTGCATTTCCTGAGCTTAGGAATGAGGAATAGAGCTGTGGGATGAAACTGGAGGTTGCCCCATGATCAGCCAGGCCTCACCCCCAGGTCAGGGACTGTTAGTAAAGATGCTTGTTGTTTTTCTAATACAAATTAATGTGTTCTGGGCTTGGGTTTGGGTTTGGGCATCGCCAGCTCACCTGGCCGCAGGTGCGTGGTGAGATTATGGCAGGAGGGAGCCAGAGCCTCTGTCTGCAGCGGTTTGGGCAGAACCAGAACTGTTTATTTGTGTGCAGGAGCATCACTGCCCCAGAGACCTCTGCTCCTGCAGTGCCAGGGGTCCCTTCCCAGCACAGGAACTGTCTGGAGCTTGCAGGTCTCCTTCCCCTGACCTTCTGCCCTGGCGCTGAGCTGTCCCACCAGCCTCAGCCCTGGGATTCTGCACTGGGATGCTGCTGCTCCTGCAGTGTTTGAGGGAAGTGAACTTCCTGCAGGAAGCTGAGTCCACTTAGAATTATCATTTCTTCAGAATGGGATATTTTCCTTTGTGTTGAAATGAAAACTGTGCTCTGTCTCCTTGGGGCTGCAGAAAAGGACATGAGCCTTTCAGAAGCAAGTCCAGCATCTTTGAAGCTTTAAGAAATACAAGCTTTAGATAAAGAGAGGGAAGAACATTTGGGATGAAGCTTTGATAGGGTGCTAGAGGCAGGATTCTGAGGCCAGGAAGCACACAGGAGGAGAAGCCAGAGAAACTCCATTCAGCAAGGAGCCCAGTTTCACAGCGAAGCAAGTGCTTTCAGACTCATGTTTCTGTGAAGTGCAGATGGCTTAGGAAAGATCTCAGACTAATGAAGTGCTTGGAATAAAGGCTTTAGAGCAGAGCTTGCAAATGCAACCACCTTTGACTTGCCTCTTTCATTCTGGAGTTCAGTGGCTCCATAATGCACACAGCAAAGAAGATCAAGGAGTGAGTAATCTTTGCAGCTATTTGCTCATCAGAAAAGTGTTTTTTTAGTTGGTTTGGTTTGGGGTTTTTTTGATGCTTGGTTGCATTTGCAGGTCAGGAGTAATAAAAGATGCACAGTGACACTATTTAACACACTTTAATAATTTTATCTGGACCAATAAAGTGTTCCTGTGTTGCCTGTGTTTCGAGCTTCAAGGATGAATCTCAGGAGTCTGCCACATATCATTCCTTTTCCAAAGCTGCCCTGTGTGTGTCTGGATGGGTTTTCTAGTTCTTCATCTGGATTTGCTGTGATGTCTTTAGCAGGACAGGCTGTGTGAGTGCAGGGCTGTGCTGGAGCAGGGGTGGGTGCCAAACCCCTCCCTGCTCCCCTTGGTGGCACAGGGAGATGGGAATGGGGGCTATGCTCAGCTCATCACAGGCTGTTCCTGTCACTGCTCAGGGTCACACAGAGTCACATTCCTTCCCTGCTCCAGCAGGGAATTCCTCTCCCAGGAGACAGTTTGTCATGAACTTCTCAAAGCTCTCTACAAACTGTTGCACCGTGGGTCATTCTTCCCTGGGCTCAGCCCTTCAGGCTGTTCAGCATCACTCACTCTGTAAATCACCAGTTTCCTTTCAATAAATTACTGTTTCAGCAGAGCTCCCTCTCAGATTGTATCATGGAGTCAGTGAGGTTGGAAAAGACCTTTAAGATCATCAAGTCAACCAAGATGTGCCTGAGAGTGCTACTGGAGACCAGTGCTCCAAAATGAAATCATTACAAATAAAGTGGGTTTTCTCTACTGAGGTGGTGTGGCAGCTCTCAGCTGATAGTTCCTTCCCTCACAATTGGATACTGAGTGTCAGTTAATGAAAGTTTGTAAAGGACTTTGACAGAACACATTGCCTGAAAGGTGTTTCAACATTTTGATTTAGAAGTTGTGTTTTTCTTTACCTCTGCAGTGCCCAGACAAGCCGTGCCCTGCTCCGATTCCCAAACCTGTGAGCAAATGGATTACTTTGAGAATGGAAAGCTTTGTGCTCAGACAGGCTCCCAGCAGCACAGGGAGAGGTACAGATATCCCAGATTTTCCCCATTTTTTGTTTGAAAGCATTTAAAGGAACGTGGTGTTGCTGTGAGTAGAATGAACCTGTTAGACCAAGTGTTACAGTTCTGTATCCAGGAAATCCTGCAGACACATTTCATTTCTTCAGGTCCTCAGCCCAGGCCTCCTCATTCCAGGAGGTTCAGAGACACTTGGAACAGTGCAGGAATAATGTTGCACTTTTAATTTGATATTGTTTTTAATTTTGGATGTTTAATGATATCAGAGACATTCCAGGTGACTGCAGAAACAGGGAATAATGGCAATCTTGCTACCAGCAGTGGCTGTCAGGTGGCTGAGGCTGGCAGACCTGTCAGACGTCTCCGGAGGAAGAGAAGATTGCCTTTGGATTCGGAGGATGAGGAGGAAAACACGTGTGAGGATGAGGTAAATGAGGCTGCATGTACCTCCTTTAAAGAGAGCTGTGAAAAGCAGGGGCACTTGTCTCAGAGTTCCTTGTGCACTGCAAATTGGGCTGAGGAGGGTTGTTCTGTACCCAGGGAATGGTCTGGGTCTGATCCTGATTTACATCAGTGATGGGAATATCTGTCCTGAGGAGTCACAGGGGTGAGTGAATAGCTCAGTGAAGTGAAAGTCAGGAGTTTGCAGTAATAACATCACTTGTCTCCATAATAGCTACACTCAAATACTGTTGTGTGCTATTGAAGCTCAGTGTCAAACCAGGGGGTTTGTTTGGATTTTATTGCATCCTTGCAGGTACTCTCAGTGCACCAGAAACCTGCATAAACAGCAGTGCCTCAATCCTGAGCTGTTCCTTCTTCAGTTTCCTGCAGCCCCTAACTCCCTCCTGGGGCCTTTTGTGCCCCCCTCTGCTCTGCTTCTGCCCATCAGGGCCTTTCTGAGCCATCTCATGTTTATTCACATTATAAAAGTGGCTCTGTGGGGCAGAACAGGGATAGGTGTTTGTGGAAAATAAAGCTGCAGCCTCTGCTGTCATGAGCAGTTTAACTCATCGTCTTGCTCAGTTTTTCTCTGGGGTATGGGGGAGATGTTTTAGGGGATGGATGTTTTCAGAAGCCCTTGCAGTCTCTCTCTCTCTCTTCCCCCTTCTCCTCATCCTCATTAGAAACTGCCCCCTGTCCCTTCTGGGGAATGTTTGGCAGCTTTGTATGGCACGGTTTGCTCTGAGAAATGACAGCCTGGGAGGAATCAAACCTGAGTTTGCAAACACACAGAAGAAACACAGATGATGGTCAGGCTTGGAGTGTGACACAGGGAGGCCACGTTGTCTGGGGTGCTCATCTCTGACAGGATTGACTTGAAGCTTCTGCTTCTTTCAGGGCTTCATAAATTCCTTTTGTTCCCCTGTATCCGTGTCCCGGCACAGATGGACTAAGAAAGGGAAAGGAAAAAGGAGTGTTCCAGTAAGGTTGCTGACATGAGCAGCAAATCCTGCATTGCAGAAAGTAAATCCTCCGTATTGTAATGCAGATTTTGGTCCTGTGCTGCTCTTTAGCAGCCACATTTAAATGAACTTCAGTTGCATACATTAAATGACTTGTAATGCACTTTGGGATACCAAGATCAGCCTTATCTGTGTAACATTCCCTCCTGATGTTTTTTCAGGGTTGTTCAAGAGACAACAATGCTGGCTAATAGTCCTTTTAGTTCCCTGTTACATCCGTGTTGTACCTGCATTGTGAGATGATCAGAGGGAGGGAAAAACAATTTTGCTAAACTTCTTTCTAACGTATCTGTGTCTAGGAGAAGAATAAATCAAATAATATGAAAAGCCGCAGAAACACTAAACCAATAAAACAAGGTGAGCTAAGCTCATAGTCTCTTTTCTTTAATGTTTATAGATTTTTTTTTAGTAGCTATTATAAAGTGAATAATAATAAATAGAAGAGGAAAGGACAGGAGAGCTGATTTGACATTCAGAACAGCTTATGAGATACATAACCCTCTTACCACAGCCAGCTTCAGAGGTGCATTAGCAGGAATATCCTGGATTTGCCTGCATGATGGGCACAGGATAAGGATCTGCCAGGAGTCAGAGTCATCCACAGCTCACTGAAGACAATAACAATCTTTTTTCCATTGACTTTGGAGAACTTCAGCCACAGCCTGCTGTGCTAAGTAAAAAATAAATGGTAAACAACGTGATTGATTGGAGACTATGAGTTAAATGTATTGCATACCTTAAATCAGTCAGTGTGTAACTGGGGGGGGAGTTTTAATATACGTTATTAAATAATGATGTATATCTAATGTGCATTATATATTTTATACAATTATTGTGATTATTATATATTACATAATTACCTATTAATATACATTAATATATGTTATATATAATAGATACAAAATATCTATACTATGCAAAATATATATATTATATATTAGTAATATATTATATATTAATATAATTATATATTATAATTATTTCTATTTTTTATATAATTTTCTGTGTATAAGACTGTGGTTCTACCAGAATGAATCCAAGTTGTTTTCATCATCTGGGAGCTGCCTCTCTAGTAGATGCATTGTGTTATTAGGAGGTTATAAATATATGTGTGTATATGTGTATATATATATGTGTATATATATATGTGTGTATATATATATATATATATAATTATGAACTGAGCAAAGAATCACTTGGTTTTTCATTTATTTTATTTTAGGCTTATTTTAGCTGCAATTATATGCCTCTCTGTGCTGCCTGTTAGTTTATATTTAACCCCTTACTCCTCTGTGAGATGTCAGGAGGAAGAATTAATTCCCCCAATTTTAAGTTATTCTGTCTTTTCCTGTGGCACCTTTCCGTGGGCAGCTTGGCAGCAGTCCAGGTGCCACAGTTCATTTGGGCTGTGATACAATAAATGTTCATTTCCTGAGGAATGAGCACGGTTTTCCTATATTGGAATTCCTACTTTTCCTCAAAAGTTGAGTAACGCTGCCTCTCCTGGGGTGCCACAGCACATGTGGGAGGAGGAGCAGAGCAGGAGTCAGAGACAAACGTTCATTTTCTCATTGTTTTTGATTAATTAGTGCTTCCTGGAAAGAAGAAGGTATGGAACTGGTCTTCCTACTTGGAAGAGGAACAGATGCCAGCTGCTCCCCAAAAGCTGTTCAGAGAGGTTGGCAGCTTTTTTCACTCTTTTGCTGTTTTTCTCGGGCAGCATCCCAGGATTACTGGCAGTCACAGGAGCACTGGCTCAGTGGAGGTGGGACTGGAGACCACCCTCAAGCCAGCACTTGTATTTCTGAGTTGTTTTGGTAAAAGCAGGCAGTAAATGTTTGTTTTCTGCCCAGGGAAACAGGCATTTGCTCTGTGGGTCTGATCCCAAACCAGGGTGTAAAAAACGCTGGTTGAATCTCAGAAATAAGCAGCAAGGGTTTGGATCTGCTGTTGGACGGCTGGAGAGGGACAGACAGACAGTCTGTCCCCTGTGCTGTGTGGCTGTCCAGAGCCCTCCCAGCCTGTGCCATCCCTGCCTGGTGCAGGAAATGCTGTGGGGTCGCTCAGGGAGTGCAGCTGAGCTCAGGGGGGAGGCTGGGGTTGTGTCACTCACCTGGAGGTGCCAGGGGCTCTGCACCCAGCTAAACGCAGCTCCCAGGGAGCTCTTCAAGCCCAGCGCTGTTGGTCCTTCCAGAGGCAGCTCAAAAGGAAGGTCTGGTCTTGCACTAGGTCATTTGCAGTCACACTTTTCACTTGGATTAAGATAAATGAAAACCACAAATTCTGGAGGAACAGTGGAACTGGGCTGCAGATCAAGCCTGCCTTGTCCCTTCCACTGTGGGAAGATGACAAAGTTACCTTTGGGGAGTCTGGACTGACACAAAGTGACTGTGGCTTCTCCAGCTCTTTGATTCTGCATTGAGCTGAGAAGGGGATGCTTTTGTGTTTGAGAAGACTCATTTCTGTGTCTGCTCAAAGATGTGTTTGTAGCTAATTGTAAGAGTTCAGTGTTTTGGAGAGATTAATTATAATAATGAGTAAATATGATGGTGCTGTTACTGACCCCTGAGCCTGCACCTGTCCATTGGAGCCACAATTACTTGGGGCGGGATTTTCTTCTCTGAATTGAACACTGGAAGCCTGAAATACAAAAATTTGTAGCCTTAAGTATGCTTAATGACTGCTCTGCAATAGATTTTGTCTTTAGGAGTTAAAACCAAATGTTTCTTCCCCCCTCACAGTATCAGTCATTCCCACAAGGCCGAAATGGATTTAAAGTTGGAATGAGATTGGAAGGGGTGGATCCTGAACACCCCTCTCGATTCTGTGTCCTCACAGTGGCCGAGGTAATTGCTTTCCTTGTCTTTGATTCCAAAAGTCCCATGTACATATATAATTCTTTTCAATAAAAAGTTGAAACAGAAGAGTAATAGTACTTTAGTTAATTGATGGTAGGAGTTCAAGGTGACACTGAAGGTATGGTGTTATGTGATTAAGGATCTTTGCTGAAATCCTACTGGCAGATTTTTGCACTTGTAACTAAGAATAGCAAGCCTATTAATTGCCTGTAGTGAACAAGTATGAAAAAGAGCAATGCCATGAGGCCCTAAGGCTTAGTAAATATAAACAAATCAGGATGCTTTATGCAGCTCCAGTTATGTGAAATCTGGGTTGATCTGGTGTGGGCATAAAAGTTCTGGGGCTGCTTTTGTACCCCAGGAATGTGTTCATGGCATGGAGCAGGAGCTCAGGGAGGTTCCACTCCCAGTTCTATTTTCAGCTGTTTGGAGTGGGGCAAGAGGAGCATGGAAAGTGGGAGAGCAAAGGAGTTAAAATACACCTGGAGTTTTTGAGGAATAAATGAGATCCTAAGTTACTTTCCCTGTAAGTACAAATACGAGGGAGTGTTTTATTAGTGATTTTCTTTCTCCTTTGTGACACTGGTGATAGTCAGAGCTTCTCTCTCTGTAGGTCCAGGGGTACAGGATGAGACTGCACTTCGATGGTTACCCAGAGTGCTACGACTTCTGGGCTAATGCTGATTCCTCAGACATCCATCCTGTGGGCTGGTGTGAAAAAACAAGCCATAAGCTGCTCCCTCCTAAAGGTATGACAGAAAATAGAGCTGTGTACAAGAAACCATAAATTCTACTAAGAACTGAATGTCCTGGCTCTGCATATTTCATTTTTAGTGTGGTTTCATCGTGCAGCTCGATCTGAGGGGCTGAAGGGAAGAGGTTTATCTAACACTGTGACACCTAAAAGAGCAGAATATCTTCTCTGTGATATTCCCAAAGACTGACATTGTTAGTTACGTTAGAATCTCTGGATTGGATGTCTCTCTGTGCTTCAGAACTTGCTTCTTTTCCTGGGTTCAGTTCTTTCCTGCATTAAATTTCCTAGAAACATTTGAAGGTTGAGATTAATGATTAGCCATTATGGTGAAAAAGAGAGAGCTGATTTAGCTGAAATGCACAGCCCCTGGAGATCATAGCAGGGCAGTTATCATACAAAGTTCATATTCTTTCCAGGCAATTTCCATTTCTGAAAAACCCAACAGAATGTACCCGGCAACAGACGTAAAACAATCTTTTTTTCTCTCTTCATAGGTTTCAAGGAGGGAGAATTTAATTGGACTTCCTATCTGAAGAACTGCAAAGCTCAAGCAGCTCCAAAAAGCCTTTTTAAGACCCTCAGCAGTGTAAGTGGTGATATGGAATAGAAGGGATTTCAATAGGTCTGGTGCTAAGTGAGTTTTGACCAGAGTATTTATGGGATTTTAATATGCTAATGTCAGAGGTACAGCCAGAGTACAATCAGATGCAAACTACTTCCTGCTACATTTTGTTTTTAAGAAGGAAAACTAGTACAATTTTTATTCCTTTCCCCAGTCACTGACTTTCCAGAGAAAGAATTTGTATTTCCCTTCCTTCTTAATGCTGGAGGAAAAGATTTACTGAACCATTTATTAAATATATTACAACTGTCTGTTTTACTGTGCCCCTGCAGTCGAGATATTTGTGTCACTTCCCTCTAATTTAATAATTTCCAAAATAACTTCTAGTTTCCAGCAGCATGCTCATGTGAGCCGTGGGATTCATTATGGGGCTGTGGATCTGGAGCATTTGTCATCCTTCCCCACTGGTGCTCTCTCAGTGGTTGTTAACCTCAGTTCCCGTGAAATCCTCCCATTTCATGTTACTGGGATGACACAAAGCCCAAGGGCTGATGGATTGGAAGCTGCACATGGACAGTCAGTGACTCCAGTGGCATCAGGGCCCAGCTCTGCCCTGATTCCCACTCACTCTCGGTTTCCTTGAAGACTCTCCAGTAAAACAGGATGTGCAAAGCCCATTATCCTCAGCAAGTCACTGCAGGGTGTCTCAGCCTGGGAGTCTGCAGTGGTGGGTGTACCTGGAAATGCTGTTTTTTGAGCCACACCAGCTCTTTTTTTAGTAATAGTAACAGTCATTGCCAGAACTTATTGAAATCCTGTCTGAAAACCTCTTGGCAGTCACTGTTTTGGTCCGTGGGTTTTGGGATCAAAGGAGTTTATAAGGGAGATTTCAGTGGCTTGACCAAGAATGTGGCTGATTTCCATTTCCTGGTCCTGTTCCTCAGCCTGTCACACCTTCTGGCTTTCGTCTGGGAATGAAACTGGAAGCAGTGGACAAGAAGAACCCCTCACTGGTTTGTGTTGCCACCGTCACGGACATGGTGGAAAACCGGCTGCTGATCCATTTCGATAACTGGGATGAGAGCTATGACTACTGGTAAAGGTTTTATTTCTGATACATGTCTGCAGGTAGACTGTTTTAAATGCAGGTCCTAAAACTGGGATCTTATATTAGGTGTCAGGCATGTGAATAATTACTTGGGCTTTTCACCAAGAGCACTAGTTCCCTTCCTGTTTGGGTGCTGGGCAGCTCAGTGCAGAGCTAGTGGAGGTGGCCTGAGCTGTCTGGGAAGCACTGGAGGTAGGAAAACTCCTTGTGGTGCCTGAAAGGGCTCCAAGAGAGTTGGAGATGGCTTTTGGACAAGGGACAGAGGGACAGGACAAGAGGAATGGCTTCCCACTGCCACGGGGCAGGGATGGATGGGGTCTTGGGAAGGAATTGATCCCTGGGAGGGTGGGCAGGCCCTGGCACAGGGTGCCCAGAGCAGCTGGGGCTGTCCCTGCCATGGCAGGGGTGGAACTGGATGGGCTTTAACATCCCTTCCAACCAAAACATTGCAAGATTCACTTTGTATTTCCCTTTCTTTTGGGACAGCTTGAATGCCTTGAAAACCCAGTGTTACACATTCCAATGAGACAGTGCCTGTCTTCTACACCATGATCACACCCACTGAAAGCATCTGCTCACCCAGCAGAGGCCTATCAGACAGCATTTGAAATCCTGCCTTTCTTTTTGCTTTCCATCTGACTGGTGCCAACTTTCCCTCTGATTCAGGTGTGAAACGAGCAGCCCATATATCCGTCCTGTCGGCTACTGCCAAGAAACTGGAACCCCACTGACAACACCACCTGGTAGGTTACAAGTGAGACTTGCTTCCTGCCTCAGCCAAAGAACCTGCAAACTGTATCTCCCACAAAATTACATATTCACAAGTTCCAGGTTCGCTTCAGAACTCTTCACTGCCTGAACAATATTATTGTTCCTACTTTTTGGCGCTGCAATTTATTTTGTTTCATAGTTCTTTGAAGAAATGGAATGGGGTTTGGTAATTTGTAATTGAATTTGATTTTAGAAGGGAAAAAGTGAGAAGGATTTCCAGCATTTCCTTCAAGGTGAGCTGGGAGAAAAAGGGATCTGTGTACCACGATTTCCTAGATGTAATTTCTGGAAATCACAGAATACTCTGGGTTGGAAAGACCCACAAGAATCATTAAGAGTCCAACCCTTAAGTGGATGGCCCATATGGGGATTGAACTACAGCCTTGGCATTGTTAGCACCACGCTCTAATGATTTCCTAGATGGAATTTCTGGAAATGAAGGAGAAACTGAATCCACATCTCTTTCTTCTGTACTGGAATTTGGTAAATGAAGAGAATGTTGGCAAATAAGAGAGGACAGAATGTACAGGGAAAACCATTGTTGTTTTCAGGCCTTGGAAGTGCTCGTTCACCTTAAAAATAGCAAACATAAAAAAATTAAGCCTGACATTTGTCAAACTGACAGCCCTGGAGCAAGAGTTCCTGTATTTGCTGTGTTCCAGGTTCAGTGGAGCGGGAAGCATTGCCTGATCCCTCTGCACAGGTGGAACTGGCCTCAGTGTCTTTGCTGTAGATAGAGAAGGGGTTGTGAACATTCCCTCTCAGCAGCACCACATCTGTCCCTGCTCCTGGAAGGTTCAGCAGGGCTGGCTCTACAGTTCTCTGCTCCTATCAGGATTTCTTGTTCCCCCAACAAAACCTGCAGCCAGTTCTGGTCTCCCTGCTGAGGGGCTTAAATGCAGCAGTTTGCAGACTGTGCTCTGCATTTAGTCATTGCACCCTCCTGCCAAAAGGAACCCGTCCTGAAGGTAAAAATTACTGAAACAGGAAAAAAGTAGAGCAGTTTCTTTAATGTAGTTGCCAGGGAGAGACATCCCACTGTTGTTGAGGAGCACACCCATGGAGCCTTTTCTTTTCTCTCCAGGCTACTGGGTTTACTCATCTGGCAGCAGGAGAGGAGAAGGTTCTACAGTCTTACAGGCACTCACACATAGAGCAGTTAATAAAACAGGAAATTAATGTAGTGATGCCACTGCACATCACAGAATCCTCTGACTATCTCATAACTGGAGTTTTCTTCAGAGAATAAGAATTGATGAAGCTGTGCAGAAATTAACTCTCCAGGGTTCAAGCCCAGTGTAAAACTGGGGAACTGGCAGAGCTGCTCTGGGTGCTGGAGGTGGCAGGTAGGAGCAAACAGGTCACTTTCCAGCACCATATATTGTAAGTGCTAATTACAGACCTGCCTTTTTGCTGTTTGTAACAGGAAATGTGGGGTTATTCTTACAGAAATGTTGATTCTCTGTTTTTCCAGGATACAGGGATTCCAAAGCCTTCTCATGGGAGAAATACCTGGAAGAAACTAATTCCCAAGCAGCCCCAGCAAGAGCATTTAAAGTGGTGGGTGAATCTCTGATTGTTCTTGCTCAGGTGCTGTTATCCTCCCTTTTTATGCTAGAGACTTTATTTGAGCATGGTTCACCTGTCTGTGCCAGGAGGGTGAAACTGTGGTTTACTTTAAGATCATCTCAGTACTGCTAAAACAAAAACACACTGCAAAATGCAAGATCTATTTTTTGAATACTATGGAAAGCTGGCTTGGAAAGGACTTTTGACTAAATATCTTGAGTGGCTCCATTAGCAGGTTTAAAGGCAGAGCCTTCAGTCCACACAGGTAACTGTGACTTCCAGAGTAGGTGGGAAGAGCCTCACAGAGGGCACAGAGAGGAGTGCAGTTACCTGGTGTCCCCTCTACATCAAGTTTTAAAAACCTTTCTAAAATTCACCTTGCAGTTGTGCAAATCCATACTTCCCTGGCTGGTGAGGCTGGAATTAAAGTAGGGAAGTTCATATCAAGGGTTTACATGTGTTGATAGAGATCTTAGTCCTCCTGGGGAGGGGTCAGCTGCGCCCTCCACGGAAATAAATGTATTAACAGATACATCTGCTGTATTAACAGCATCTCTGCCAAGCCCCTGTGTGCTCTCAGACCAGCTTTCAGGCTCAGTGTGAAGATGCTTCTCTCAGCCTTGTGATTGTGAGCTGTTGCTGTGAACAACAATTGTCCTGAAGGGTGGACTAAGCTTTTTTGAGCCACACTCCTAAAATCCCAATAGAGCTGGAAAATGTGAACTTAAAGCTCCCAGCCCAAGTACTCTGTAAGATCTGCCATTGTAGCTTCTTCCTGTAGATTTTCAGGGTCTAAAGTGTGGTGAGAAATACCACCTGAACATAAGAGGGCTTTGCTCAGGACAGGGAGCCTGTTCAGTACTGAGCTCCCTTCTTTGGATTCCTCCAAAGTGAAGTGTCTTCCCAAGGAGGATGCAGCTGCCTTGTCTGCCTCCTTTCCTGTTTTCCAGGCATTTCTGCAGCCATTGTTCTGCTCCTGCAGGTATCAGGCTTTGAGAGAAGAGTAGAAGGACCAATTCTGGCTCTCATGAAACTCCTGAGTGCAAATTAGCATCTAAAACTGTGTTTCAAAAATGAGACAGAAAAGAAAAGGTATTTGATATATCAGCAGTTAATAGAACTATTTCAAGATCAAGCCTCTTTATTTTTCTGGCTTGGTTGGACTGAAGTGTAAATAAATGGCGAAGCTATTGATTTTTTAAAAATTATTATTATTATTCCAGCTAGCAATTACAGGAAATCAGTACATAAAAATGCGGGTTGAGAGCCAGAACAGGCATTTCTCACTGAATTAGCTTTTAACAATTTTAAAGAGCTGTCTTATGTAGTCTGGAGACACAGGTCATCAGTACAAATAGCAGATCTTGGGTCTGGATTTCTGCCCTCTCCACCCAAAAACTCAGGAGACAGCTCCAATGTAAGCATTGTTATTTCAGCCCATCCTCTTGGGCTTGCAATTCCAAAACATTCATAAACTACTGCCAGAAGGGCAGCAACCCTTCAGAAAGGCTTAAACAAAGAGCCTGGCTCCTCTTCTGGGCAGGATTTGGACCTTGAGCACTCAGCTCAAGCTTCAGGGAGCACAGACAAGGTTGGCTGGTTCAGTAAGATACTCTTGAAAATAAAAGCAGTTTAGATTCTCTGTTTTGTGCTGTGTCCAGTGTCTGACAGCCCACTGATAGATGTCTGTGTCCCTGTGAAATGATCAAAGAGGAACTTCAGGTGTGGAGTTAAACCCCTTAGCTCAGGAGTGCATCTCCTTCCTGCCCCAGCCATTGGCAGTAAAAAGGGTAAGGAAGACTGGGAGGGAAGAATGATTTTAATAATTTCATTAACCTGAATAGTCAGGTTGGAAGAGAGGCTCAGTCCTCTTGGGAACTGTGATTTTAACCTCTTGGGAACTGTGATTTTAGCCTCTGAACAGTCTGCCATGTGGGATAACTCAAAGCTCCAAAGGCAGCTAGGGGTGGATGGAAACTGGAGCACATTTTATTCAGAGGAGGTGCCAGCTCTGAACTCCAAGGCTTGTTGGCATTCTGTTTACAATCCTCTCTTCCAGCGTCCTCCTCATGGATTCCAGGTTAATATGAAGTTAGAGGCTGTGGACAGACGAAATCCCATCTTGATAAGAGTGGCAACAATCGTTGACAAAGACAACCACCGTGTTAAGGTATGACCTCGGTCCCAAGAGCAGAGCCTGTGCTGAGGACCCCGGGATGGGCAGCACAGGGGGAGCATCCCTTCACAACGAGGAGCAGCAAACAGCAGCAGCTGCTGAGGCCTCTGGGCCTGCCCAGCTGGAAATGGTTCCTATTGCTTTGTTTTGCTGGAATCTGAAACTGGCCTGGTTGTTGTTAGTTGTTAGTGTTGTTAGTTACTGTTCCAATGTAACTGTTTTAAACCAACACTCCACAGTGTGATGTCCCATCTCTTGGCATTTTCTGTGTGATCTCCGTGACTGGTGGCAGCAGGAGTGTTCTGCTGGGGAAGCTGCCTGACTGGAAAGGAAAACCCAAAGCAATTTAAACCCTGGTACATGTGGGAAGCAGTGTCATTCTCCAGTACAAATTTGTCACATAAATGCATTTTAACCTAGTCTTTTCATGCAGATACATTGCCCAAATAATCTATTGTGTTTTGGCTTCTGAGGAACTAAGTGTGAGCCAGTTAAAGTGGAGGCTGCACTGATGGAGACTCCGTGGCCACAGGTCTCCCTCCCAAAGGATGATTACACTGGCAGGAGTGGAGTTCACTCCCCATTATCTGGCTGATTCTGAGTCTCATTGCTGTGAACAAAAGCCAAGCTTTGCCAGTCTGTAGTGGCATGATACTCAATTTGTACATTGAAACTTTGCTGCATGAACAACCCAGTAGCCTTTAAACCCCAGTGCTCCTCAGTCTCTGTTAACGTGACCTGATCTGAGCTAACACCAGTCTCTTCATCCAGCAGAAAACTGCAAAACTCACCAAACTTGTTGGCTTTTACAGTGTTTTGGGATCCACAGAAAACAAAACAAATAAGCATTTGTATTTGCATAACTTTGGACTTTGTGTGTTAGAGCACCCCACGGGCTGCAGGGTGACAGACTGCATCTTCAGAACCTGGTTATTCTGTGAAACACAGGTGCAGGAAAAGAAAGAGTTAAACTGAGCACAGAGATGATTGTGCCTGACTGAAAGATTGATCTGAAAGAGTGAATGAATCAGCCCCAAGCTGAGCAAGGTGAAACAAAGGGGGAAGTTAACGTAAAAGCTGAGTCATGCCCTGAATTGTGTCTTTCCCTGACACTTCTGCTTCTTTCAGATACATTTTGATGGCTGGGACCATCACTATGATTTCTGGGTGGATGCAGACAGCCCTGACATCCATCCTGTGGGCTGGTGTGACAAAACTGGACATGCTCTGCAGGTCCCTCTAGGTAAATACAGGACATTCTGTTGTTACATGGGTAATTTCCTAAGTGCAGTCTGCTCCTCACCTGCAAATCTCTTCATCTTCCATATTTTACTGCTCTCAGGTGCTGAAGATCCAGAGGGAGCAGTGGGACAGGCGTGTCCTACTCCGGGGTGCCAGGGGATCGGGCACGTCCGGGGCCCCCGCTACGGAACACATTACACGTATGTAATAACAATATCAACAGCAACAACAATAATAATAGCAACAATATCAACAGCAACAGCAACAGCAGCAACAACAACAACAACAACACTAATAATAATAATAATAATAATAATAGTAATAATGCACCAAGCAATTGCACTGCACTGAAATGATCTCAGGGTGGTTATTCTGGAGATAGCTATAACTGCAATCGCAGCTCCCTCTTGTGTCTAAGCAGGCTGTTTGATCATAAATTTTTTTTATACCACTATAATCATGATGGCTGCAATGCAAACAGATTCATTCACTCCAGTTTCTACATTCCAGCAGTACTGAAGGAGTTCTGTTTGTGAAATAATATACCAAAGAACAACATACAAGTAGACAGTTAAAGAGGAGAGGGCATGGATAGGATGTTAAAGTATCAGTGAGGAGAGGTTGCTCATGTTTTGTGCTCTGCCTTTTGATTTCCTGCTCTTGGAAGAGGAAGCTTTTTCTCAAGTAAATTATTTTAAGAGCGAGAAAACAATCTCAGGTGGGAGGTCAGAAGACCTGGTAGTTTATAATGTAGTAAAGTGCTTTGAATTTTTCAGACTGAAAGTTGCAGAACTCTGTTGATTCATGAAATGCTGTTCTAATAAGCAGGTTACAGAGGATGAACCCTTTTTGTCCTCTGTGGTGGCTCTTTAACAACATGACTTTGGTTTTTAATACTGCCATATAGTCCTCTGCTTTCTCACACTTAGAGCTGGGTAACAGCACCACCTGAGAGTGTGTGGCCCCTTTTTTTCTGGGTTTGTGATGGATTTCTCTGCCTGAGGTAGGGAAGACTGTATGACTGTAAAGCTTTCATTGCCCTCTCTCTCTTCCTGTCACAGCTTAGTTGGCTGCCCATACTCTGATGTGAACCTCAGCAGAGAAAACCTGTTACAGGACCGGCTGAGTGGGGAGAGACCTTCCCCTGGGAACAGCATGCAGAAAGCCAGGAGGCTGGACACCCCTGGCCCATTGCTGGGAGCAGTGGAATCTTCTCAGAGTGGCTCTTCACAATCCAGGTGAGCTGGATTTTACTCTTGGCCAGGTACTGGGGAGGAAAAGCATTTCCAAGGGTGAAAACCACCAGAAGTGGCAGTGACGCAGCAGAGCATTGAGTTCATCTGTCTGTAATATTGGCCTGTGCCCCAGACACTCTTTACACAGAGCAGTCTACTTTTATACCCTCACATGCCTTAATAGGTTTCTTGATTCCTTAATCCTGGTGCTCTGGTCACATTCCAACAAAGGAAATTGCATTCTGTCTCCATAAATTTTTCCTTGCTGTTTCAATTTAAAATATATTCTTTTCTTTCGTTTCCTGTGCTAAAACTGTCAAGCCAAGGTTATTTTGCACCATTAAACTGTAACTGTGATCCACCCCAGTCGGCTGAGCACTGTGTGTATCACTTAGCAGCAAGCAGACTGAGCACTCTTAGATACTTCATTTTCTTACCAGAAAATCTTGCAGCTGAGCAGCATTGAAGGAAACTGTGCCTTAGTTCTTGGAGTGCAGGAGTTGGTTAAGCCTGTCATGGGACAGACCAGGATATGAAGGATTTTTTTAAGATGGTTTTTAGTCTTCACAAATCCAGACTCACTAGGGCAAACTCCAGCAATACTTCAGTTTTTTGTTATATGTGAAGGCTTATCTATATTTAAAAGTTCATCTGTTTGTTCAGATTTATAACATTTTCAAGATCTATTTGTCCAGGAAAAATGAATGAACACTTCTTTCTCCTCCCTGGCCTTCATGGCCAAACTGCTTCCTCCCATGCCACAACAATGCAGTCATCTTCATTCCCTAATTTCCACACCAAAACTGATTGCATTTCAGTGGCACTGCTGCCATAAAGCTCCCTTGGGAGATTTTGAATTCTCACAGAATATATGACATTTTAGAATTGTAATATATTTCTTTTCTTCCAAGTATTTAATTTCCTGATAGTGGGAGGTCTGAATTCAGCCTGTAAATCTGGTGCTGTTTGTCCTCCCTTGGACAACTCTGTAGCTCAGTTGATGCATCAAACTTAGTCAGGAAACTCTTAAATGTTATCCTGAGGTATCAAGATTCAGAAATCTTAAATCTCTTGCTTCCAGCATTACACAGTGGTTTCTTGTATCTGCTGGCATCAGAGGCTGAGTCCACAGAGGCAAATTTATTTCACATGAACTCTCTCAATCCTTGCTCAAGAGGAACAAAGCACTTTCTTCTCGTGGAAGGGAGAGGAAAGTTCTGCCACAAGGTGGTGGTTGTTGCTCTCACTTGCCAGGAGCAGTCAGCTTTGCTCTCCTGTGGGAAAAGGGAACAGAGGATGTCAGCTCAGCTACTGTCATTTATCTGTCTTTTCAGAAAATCTGCACCAGACAGTGAAAAGTGGTGTCAAAGCAGCATCCACACTCCATCAGAGCAATCAGAAAACAGTCAGGAGAGAGGCTGGGGAGAGGAGGATTCCTCTGCAGACATCAAAGCCACACCAAAAATGTAAACAAAAGTTTTGTGATGTATTTTCATGCATTAACAGTTGTGTTTCTTGCTGCTGCTGCTGTATCTGAAATAAAGGTGTAAATAAAAAACAGCCCAGTTTGATCAGGGTTTCACAGCAGAGTGTTTTAGCATGGCATGGTAAGTCTCCTCCCTTCCTCCTGTTGTTTTGGGCTCTCTCTTTCCTGTAGCAAACTCAGATCTGAGTTCTGGCCATTAATTTAATAGAACAGCCCTTAACTCAGAGAGAGGTCAGGGATGCATCTATTGCTTATTTTAAGAGGAAAAAAATGTTTAATTTCTATAAATCCCATTAATCTTTGTATAGAGAAGAAATTAAATCCATTTTTGTATCTTCTGAAATGTTTTGTAATTGTTGCTTTCAGGCTTGGGTGCTCACATGCCTATATCAAGTTTCAGTTGGTGAAACAGGAGAACAATGGGAAAGGTTGGTTAAATTTTATTCTTTCTTTCTCTGTGTGTGCCTACCTCTGCAGTATCCCCACAGTCACGAGGAGCATTCCAAACTTCACAGCTTTTTTTGTCTTTGATTCCACTGTCAAGAGAAAGCACATCCTGGAGATGATGGCAGTGGTAGTTTTTCTTCCTTTAAAATGAGAAGAAAGGGTGAAAGTTTTAATAATCTGTAGAGTGGTGTCTTGTATTTATTAAGTGAGAAGGCAAGTTTGCACTTGTTTTTGTGCCACTGCAAACTCCTGTCTGGTGGCAGGGGGTTCCCAAACAGTCTGTGACCAGTGTCAGGCTCTGACAGAGCCAGCACTGGGCTCAAGGGACACTTGCTCAAAACTTAGCAGATAGTTTAGGTTCCATCAACCCCTTTTTTTAGACTCTCATGGGTATTCAGAAACATATTCTGAATCATTGGAGGACTTTTTAAAGGCTCTCTTAAGGATGAAAAAGAAAATGAAAAGCTAAATGGAGGAACAGTGGGGATTTTTCTTGGTACATGACAGGTTAAGTTTTCAGAGCAGCTTTCTGCTATCACTTTAGCAAACCATATGCTTAACTTTCAGATTTACTATAAAAAGCCATTTCAGAGAACGGAGCTGACCAGGCTTTTAGGAGGATTTAACATGGTAATAAGTCTCCAATCAAAAATAGCTAAGCAGACACAAACTGGGACAGGTGCCTGGATTTTTATTTTATTTTTTTTTAATACTCATTTTTACCTAGTGCTGAGTTCTGCAGTCAGAGCTGAGGATCTGCCAGCTCCATGCTGCAGTTGCAGCTGGCAGGGAAAGCTGCCCACTCTCCCTTCACATTCACCTTCCATGGAGTGATGGAAATCAGGGGAGGGAAATGCAATTATCCACTGACCTGCAATTTCACAATTACCCAGAGCTTTCCTCCCAGCTGTGTTTAAACTATGAGATCACTGTTTCTTCGTCAGAGGGAAAGTCACTTGTCTAGGTCATGTTTTGGGTGCCTAGTCCAGCAGGGATTTGGGCTTAGTGGAGAAAAGGAATTGGTCTGAGATGGAAGCAGTGCCCAGCCAGCAGGGATGTGGCAGTGGGGGTGACCCTGGGCACGAGTGGGACCTCCTGGAGCAGGAGGTGGGGACAAGACCAGCTGCTGTCTGTCCTCACCCCTGCAGCAGTGCAGCAGGGAAGGAGGGGGTGATTGCCCTCTCAGGAGCAGGTCCTGTGCCCTCTCAGCACCAGGAACTCCTCAACTGAGCAGTTCTTACTCAGGCTTTATTTATCCTCCCCAGGCTTTATTTATCCTCCCTTGGTTTCATTATTAGAAATTTGATGTTATTTGATGCTATTTCATGAGCTTTAGGGATGTGGAGATGAGCTGAGCTGAGCTGAGGGGCTCTGGGGCCAGGGGAGTGGCTGTTCACTAGGACAGGGTTTACCCCCAGAGCTGCTTCCCCTTTGGCTGGGGGGAAGCTGGCAAACTCTGGGAATCTGTTTATTCTTTGTATTTCGGCTGTTTTCCTTTGTGCTTTCCACATGGTGACTGTTCACCCCTGCATCTTCCACCCCAGCCCACTGAGAGCTGCTGAGCAGGAGCAGCAGAGCAGCAGGAGCAGCAGAGGCAGCAGGAGCAGCAGAGCAGCAGAGGCAGCAGGAGCAGCAGAGCAGCGGCTGCTCCAGGCACACAGAGCTCTCCCAAGGGCTGGGATTAAGTGGGAATGCTGTGGGAATGGTGCTGGGCAGCCTGCAGGGCCGGGGCTCAGGGGCAGCCCCCCGTGGCACTGTAAAGCAGAGCAGTGCTCCCCAGCCTGCTCCCATGCTCTGCCTGGCCTCTTGTATGAGCAGCACGTCCCTGTAGGACCGTGACTCTGCACTGCTCCAGTGAGCTCATCAGGGAGGGGTGATTCCTTCCTCCCTTTTTTGCCTTGGTTTTCAAAGCTTCCGTCACTTGACACATGAGGAGGGAGTTGATGTCTGGAGGTACCTTGAGCTCTCCTGGCCTGGGAGTCTCCTGGGGAGCGAGCCCAGGCCGTGCTGGCAGCACAGAGCTCTGGCTACAGCTGGGGCTGGAACGGTGCCATCAGTTCCCAGCCGAGGATGCTGTTACCAGAACTCCTCCACCTTGTCAATAAAACGCTGCAAACATCTTCTCTGTTAGCAGCATGACATCATTTTCCAGGGAAGAAGCTAACGATAAAGCCTCCAGCCTGGCAATCTTATCTTTTTTTTCCCTTTCTCCTGCTCGGGAGGGTGGGGAGAACGCCCTGAGAGCTCCGTGTGCCACACAGTAGCTCTGCCTGGCTCTGCTTACCCTGTCTTGCTGAACTCCAGGCTGTGACCCTTCCTTCTGCTTTCTTGTAGTTGCTCCTACTTGAAGCCTGGCTCTGACTTGTCTTGTTTCCTTTTCCAGGCCCTGATTTGGATCTCCAGCAGGCCCTCCACCAGTCTATCTTCATGCCTTCCCTGGCCTCTAACCCGACCCACCGCCTGCATCTCTTCTGGGAGCAGCACTGCAGGCTCCTGCCGGAGGTCTCGGGCCTGACAGCCAAACAAGTTGCCAAATGGACTGTGGAGGAGGTGAGTTACCTGTTCCCTGCTCTGCTCTCCAGGGCTGCAGGGATGTCAGAGCACTCCTTCTCTGAGTGCTAACCGGGAGACATCTTTTCTTCCCTCCCTGTCCTAGGCAGTGCTCTTGTGTTTGCTGTGCGTGCACCACAGCTGACTCAGCTGGAAGTTAGACCCAAGACCTTTTATCAGGGAGGGGAAGGACCCCTGTTGACCCTCTGGTGTCCACAGCTTATTGCCCTCAACAGGATTCCCTCCCTCTCTCTGTTTATTTTCCCCTTGATCTCTCAGTCCACAGGCCTGAAACATCATTCTGACAGCAGATTCCCTTTCTCTGATCTCCCTCCCCCTCTCCTGTGACTTTGCTGCTGATTCACTTTTACAGTGCAGAGAATTCCAAACTGCACTGTGCATGCCCACTCCTGCTGCCTCTCCCTGCCTGATTCCTTGGGAACAGAACTGCCCACAGCCTGACCTGATTTCTGGCAGAGGTAGCTGTGCAGCTGGAGATGTGTCTCTGCAGCTTTTGAGATGTCTCCTGTAATTAGGTGGTGTGTGAAAAAGCCAGAGTGTTTTGTGTGCTGAGTAGTTGGTTTTTGCCTCAATGCCTTGGGCACAAATAATATTTCTCTCTGCACTTGGGAAGTGGTGACAATTTGGATCCTGGTGCTTAATTGCAGGGCATTTAATCCCAGAAAAATGTGCTGTAGTGTTGTGCTTGCAAGGATGCAGGGAATCTGCAAAGCAGGAAAAAAGTACTGCTGTTCATGATGCAGAGAGGATCTTCAGAGACTTTTAGAAAGTGCATTTTCCGTAAGTGCCTCTTAACATCAGATAAATCCAATCTTGACGTTCTCTTCATGCTGGAGGAGTGGGAGTGCTAGAGACTGGTGGGATTACAGTGATCTGGGAGATGGGAACCACAGCTGTTGGGAAAGGGATGGAACAATTAGTGGTGATGTTTTAAAACTGGGTCCTTTTTTTTGTTGAGTTGTTGTGGTTTGGTGGTAGTGTTGGGTTTTGGTTGTGGGGTTTGTTTTTTTTCCCTTTTCAGAAAAATGTGTTAGAATTAAATTTATACCTAGGAGGAAAAAAATATGTGAAAAATTTACTGTTCCTGTCCTTTTGAGAAAGCTTCCAATGATTTGTCCAAAAGGTCTTTTAGCAAATCAATAAAGTCAGATGCAGATAATCCTCTGACATGATAATCAAAATCTCTTTCTTTTGGATAAAACAGGAGGATGCATCATGGAAGTACAGTGTCAGGATCCAAGCCAAATAAAATTTGTCCTTTGCAGCTGACCTTTAAAGCAAGTGCTGGATAGATTTAACTGGGATATTAGTTTGATGACGGATGAGTGTGAGCAGGGACCACAGACATGGATGCAGGGCACTGGATATAGTGATTCAAACCCAGCATAAACTGAACTCTGCTGCAGCCTGAAACAACTGGGGAACTTCTGGCTGCTGGTGAATGGCACATTAAAAAGCTCAGTTGCAGCACAACAATGGACTGGCTGAAGTCATTACAGGTTTTATCTTGAATTTCAGCAAAGTGTGTCTGATTTTGCAAATTATGTTCATCACAAATTCCCAGAGGAATCAATTTATGGTCTCTCTGAGGATCAGCGTGTGCAGTGCAATGTAGCCACAGGTCTGGAGCTGAAAGCAGCAGGACTTGCTGTGTTTTAGGGAGCCCAAAGTGCATTTGGCCTGTCAGCATTTGGGCTCCCAACATCCTCCTGCAGGGCAAACATCTTCCCACTTGCCTTTGGGTTGTGCTTTGAACTCTGCTGCACAAAGGAGTCCATTCTGCTGATGTGAAACAGGAGTGATGGGGGTGTAAAATTCTCCTTTGGTTTCAGGCTGAAGAGCTGGTTTTTATTTTATAAAACCCACATTCAGAACTAAAACATTGCTGTAATTCTATGCTGGATGAGAGCAGCTGAAGTGGCAGAGCAGCAGCAGTATTTAGGGGCCCTCAAGCTAAGAGAGTCTGGTAACACTGAGCAGTCACTAAGAGTAGTTACTTTAATGCAGCTTAGGTATTTATTGAAAGCTTCCTGTCATGTTTTCAGAGCATATTGACTCACAGAAGAACATTACAGATGTATTATTGTTCATTAGTTAATCCCGCTTCAAATGCTAATACCGGGGTGGGGGGAAGAGGACTGTCCTTGTGCCCAGTGTGAGTGGGTTTGTAAATCCCAGTTAACCCAGCTCCTCACTGTGGCCTCAGAGGGGTCAGTCCTGCAGCAGCTGTTGAAGGGTTGTGGTGTGGGGCTGCTTTGTCCTGTGCTGCTCTCGGTGTGTCTGCCTCACAGCAGCACCTTCCAGAGGGGTTTCTGGAAGTTTCCAGGGTGTTCTCAGGAAAAGCCCCTTTTCAAGCCCTTTCCCTTCACTAGTGTCTGCTTTGGGAGTGTAAGCAGACAGGTCTGAGCCATGGATGGTTACAGCAGGAAGGGCCAGCAGACTTTTACCTCCTCAGCTCTGATCCCACTGAGATATTGCCAGCCTGTCCAACACCTGTCCCAGCCACACTGTGAGCCCCCCCAGTCTCAGCCTTTCCCAGGGCCCAAAGCTTCCCTGCCACCATTGTGGGGTTGTGTTGTTTTCCTGTGGTGTTTTGTTCTTGTGCTCCCAAGCCTTCCTCATCCCTCAGCTGCCCATCTTGGTTTGGGAACCCTCCTCCCCAGCAGGGACAGCCAGGCAGGTCCCTGTGGTCCGTGGTACCCAGGGTCTGTCTCGTGTCCTGAGGACCTTCTCTCCCATTTCCTCCTCTTGCATCTCCCTTCCCTCTCTGTTCCCCGTTCCTGGAAAGCCCCAGGGCTGCTGTTTGTGTCCCTACAAAGGACCGTGGGGCAAATCAAAGCCTCTCACTCTGTGCTGGTGACAGTGGCCAGCAGCAGTTGTGCAGGGAAGGCTACAGGAGCAGGGCAAGCCCAGGTCATTCCCTGGAGGTGTCTGCCAGCCTCAGTGCCACAGACACTAAAGAGCACTCAGCTCTTGCCCCAGGGGTCCAACTGTCTTTTAAATTCTGGAAGGAGCCAGGCCTGGCAGAAGGATTTTCATTTGTGTTTTAATTATTAGATGGGGGGGGCTCAAAAGGAAAGTAGTGTTTTGTTATTGGTTACTAATGGGAGTTTACACTTCTGCAGAAGAAAATTTGGAGTCACTGCCCAACAGAGATGGGGATTTCAGGAGTTCCCTTTAAGATGGAGCAGAAGAGGAGGATGAAGGAGAGGGAGACTGCTTTCAGGTTACATAACAGAAACCACAGGAGTCAGAGCTGCTCCTGCCAGGGCAGAGCAAACCTGGAGGGCACTCTGAGAGCCCCATTCCTGCCTGGCTAGAACTGGGGGGAGGGAATGACTCCAAGTCTAGTGGTGGGATAATCTGGAAGTACAGGGACGTGATTTAGGACAGAGTTTGACAATTCCAAGTTGAAGGGAGCCTGGATCTGACAGTGACCCCTCCCAGCTGCTTGTTTGTGTACAGGGAAGAAATGTCACATCTGCAACAACTCACATGGTTATGCCTCATGAAGCAGAGCTGCTCCTGCAAGGGAGCACCCAATTAACAGGAGATGTTTGATCTGATTATGCCTCAATATACAAATCTCCTGTGAACCAGTGAAGCTGCAGCTGGAGAAGACAATGCACATCAAGCTGTCCTCCACTGCACACAGGACTGCTCCTCACACTCCTTGCTGTTATGTAATGCAACCCAGGGCTGCTTGCATGCCTCCAGGGAGATTATTCCAAATGTTAACAGATTCCTTGCTTAGAAAGGTTTTCCCTAATGTGAAATGTAAAATTAACTTTTCCTTGTTTAATCCTCTTGATTCCGTGGATCCTGTGCACCCAGTGCAGATTAAATGAAACCAAAACTCCTTTCCTTCCCAGCTCTTCTGCCTTTGCATGTTGGTAAAGCAGCAATGCTCATTCAGTTGGTTTATCTTGTCTCTTACAGGCATGTAATCTTGGGAAATTGTCTAAATACTTTCTTCTTGTTTTACTTTCCATCAGTACTGTAAAGAAAGTGAAGTTGTGAGTGAATTTAAAGTAGTCTAAGCCATATACAGCTTTTAATCTGGAAAAATAATGTTGATGCTGTGAGCAGCTTTTAGAGGAGTGGAGAAGCTGGATTCTTACAGGGAGAGGAATGGTCAAATGGCAATAAGGGCAGTTATTGGTGGTAACCAAAATAGGCAAAGGAGTTTCAGCAACAACCCAGCAATGTTTTCCATCTATATCCTTCATTAATGTGAGAGCTTTGAGTATTAAAGTTTTAAAAATTCTTGCATAGAGAAGTCTCATACAGAAGCAAGAGGATTTTTCTTGATGCTGTCTCATTTTAATTGTCTGTGTTTCTTTCTCTCACATGCAATCGAAGGTGGTGAGCTTTATCCAGCGTTTACCTGGCTGCAAAGAACAAGCCTCTGTGTTCAGGGAAGAGGTAAGGGGGGTGTGCCCAGACCCTGGAATTAGGGCAGAGAGCTCAGACCTCCTCAGCCATGTCCTCACAGCAGTGCCATTCAGGAGGCAGCCTCAGCATGGAGCTGAGTTCCACCATGGCTAATTGCATCCTGCTGCTTTAAATCTCCCCTGCAGCTCCAATCACGGAGCTTATGCTTAACATCCTGTCTTGGACCATTGTGCCATGGGCTTGGCACTGCTCTGAAGTTGCCCTGTTGGAATGGTTAGTGAGGATCTCATCTGCTGCCTCTAACGAGGACATGCCTGCTCCTCTTGGGGAGCCTGGAAGGTGCAGGGCTCCCCAGGAATCAAGTGGGAATCGTCCCTTGGGCTGGGGTGAGAGCAGGAGGGGAACCTTGCTTTTCAAAAAGCAGAGGTTGGGAAGTCAGAGCGTGTCCTGTGTTAGGTGGAACAAGATGAGCTTTAAGATTCCTTCCAAATGAAACCATCCCATGGTTCTGTGATTCTGTCCCTGCAGCTCTCCTGTGTGGCTCTGAGAGCTCCAGGGGAGGGCTGGAGCCACTGCAGTCACTCGGTGGCAGTGAGTGGAAAGGGCAGGTCTGTAATCACTGGCTGCTACAGAGCTGGCTCCCTTTCAGGGGGAATCTGCAGAGCATTTCATGGGTTTATGTATCTGTGTTTTGTTTTCCCTTGTTTTAAAAACTCTGCAGACACACACAAAATAGGAAGCAAGAGAAATAGAGGCTTGCAAAAAGCACTGTCCACAATGTGACAATACAGTAGAACACTCACAAACTGAATATAGTGGGAATAGTGAAATTTGTTCAAATGAACCCATCTTTCACTGTAGCTGAGTGTAAAAGGGAGTTCTAGGGAAGGTGTATTCAAAGGTGAGAGGTACCAGCAAATCTCCTAATAAATGCAACCATTCTCCATGTATTTTATTTCTTCTGGTCCTGAACACAGTGACTGCTTTCTTATTCTGAGAGTGCCATAACCACAGTCTGTTCTAATCCTCATTTTCTGCAGCCTCAAAGTGTGATTTCCTGCACCACACTTCGAGGGACTTGTGTTGTTTTCCAGTTTATGCTCAATCCTCAGTGTCAGTTTGAAATTAAAACCCTTTTAGCAGTTTGGCTTTGGCCAGAATACAGGTGTGAGTGACAGGAGAGCTGAGCTCCCCCACACTGTCCAGGATCAGCCTCCAAGTGCTCCTGTCCAGGATAAATAAAACCTTGCAGACTTCCCTTGGTGGGGGGCTGGAGGGGGATAAGTTGCTGCTTACATTAGGAGCAAAGAGAACAAATTGTGCACAGGATTCTAAAACCCATCCAAATAAGATGGAACAAAGAAATTAATAATAAAGCACAGACTTGCTTCTAGGTCCAGTTCAGGGCAGGACGGTTTAAAATAAGCAAGTGTGAGGCAATGCAGTGAAAATGAAGCAGAGGGATAAATAATACTGGACACAAAACCGTTTTGAAATGTAGGACTGTTTTCCAGCAGTTTTCTGCTCCTCTTGACTCTGTTATTTAATTTAAACAGCACAGTCCCATTTGTTTCAAGCTATTTTTAATACATTCATTGCAGCAGTGTAGACTTGAGGCAGCTTGAAAATAAGATTCAGGGATATGGTGTGGCCATATGTGAACTGGGAGCACTGCTGTCATTCCCAATGCAGGAATTAACTTCCCAGTTACTCCCAGTTACTGAAGTGGCAGGGTGAGTAACTTGCCAAGGGTCTCTTGTCTGGTGAGATGGGGGAAAACCAAATCTCCTGGCTCCCAGCTCTTTGCTTTAATTATGTGTTCTTCAGAGAACAGTGTTTACTCAGTGTTTCCTCTTGCACCAGGCATTGCCATCCGAATATATTCTAGTTGGGAAGAGTACAAAAATAGCAGAATTGTTATTCTGGTTGGGCTGAGTGTCCAGTGCTGTGTGCTGCACTGGTGAGCATCAAATAAGAGGAGGAGACACTGTCAGTCTCTGTAAATGGACTTTAATGGAATAACTTAGGGAGACACATATTGTTTGTCTTTGTCCATTAATCTTTGGCTTCATCCCTGCAGCATTTGGGGTTTATAATAATTATATCTGTGTTGTCTCTGTGGATGTTCTTGCTGGAGTGAATTTTTAACCTCTTCCAGAAAGAGTGTGTCATGATTTCACTCGCTGCTACCTACAGCATTCTGGATTTGCACACGGTAGTATGTTCATCACTTGCTTAATTTGCATCTAATCAAATATATCTCCTTGTTGATGGATTAGGAGACTGTTTTTCCAGCCATATTGCATCTTCACTATGCCTTAGTCTATCTAACATCTGGAACCATGGAATGGTTTGAGTTGAAAGGCCCTTAAAGCTCATCTCATTCTACCTCTGCCATGGGCAGGACACCTGGAGCTTCTCTATTCCTAGGGAAAGCGCCGTGAGACGAGCTCTGTGTCCCTTGGGAAGGGGAGATCACGGAGTGTAGGGGCCAGAACTGGGCAGGAATCCCAGAATGACAGGAATGGGAATCCTGCCTGTCTCTTGGTGTTTAATCCCCGTCCTGTTGGTGTTCCAACCTCCAGCAGATTGACGGAGAGGCCTTCCTGCTCCTCAAGCAGAACGACATTGTTAAAATCCTCAGCATCAAGCTGGGCCCTGCCCTCAAGATCTACAATGCCATCCTCATGTTCAAGTCTGCAGAAGACAACTGAGAGGAGGCCTTTGACAGAGCCAGCAGGAATTAACCAGGAATGGATCTTCAGCTGTGAGCATTGCAACACACCTGACAGGTGGATGGGGACTCGGATGTATTTTAAGTAGAACTTAGTAAAAATGGTTTAAGGTTATAAAAATCCTGCCACAGTCTGGAATATGGGGCAGCTTCACTTCCAAGAAGACGATATTATTATATTTTGTAATTGAATTTGGTTTTGATATATCAATCTCTTTTTGAGATCGAGAAGAAACCTCCAGTTCTAAGGGGAATCCAGGGTAGCAGTGGTGGAGCTGCAGGAGCAAGAAGAAAGTTTTGAGTAAAACTGGCTTTGTGTCTAGTGATAGTGCCTGAAAGACTGACTGATCCCGAGCAAGACTAATATGTTCTGTGTAATAAAAGAGAGAGGAAAAAGATGTTCTTCAAAACAACTCCCCCATATCCTTCACTGCTGTGACTCAGGAGCTGACCTTTTCAGGACTGATTGTTAAATTCCACTTTTTCCTGCTGATCCTGGTTGTTGTGGTACCCTTGGCTCCTGAGCTGCTTGCACAGGAAGGGAGCATGGGCAGAGGATTTCCATCAGGGATAGCTTGCACAATGTCCTCATTCCTGTCATTCCCTGTCAGGAGGCAGGGGCAGTGCAGGTGGCTTTGGGCAGGCAAAGATCCCATAAGGGCATCTGCTGCTGAGACAAAGAGATGTATTTTAGCTGTAATTCTCCCATCAGTGCTTTTTGTGCAGCTGCTTCTGGGCCAGGAACATCTTCTGGCAAAATGGCACAACCAGGAGCACTTGGGGACTGGTGTGTGTTTGTTCTTGACTTCTCCTGTCAGCCAAGTCCTAGGAACAGGAGTTGGAAAGCCAGCAGTGTGTGTGTGTAAACAGATTGCCTAGAAACAAATGGCTTTTCTTTTGAACCATCCAAACTGATGGATGTGAAGTGCTTTGGCCTTCTCCCCCTGAGGTGTTCTGCCAGAGATGGAGGGCCAGGCAGCAGCTCCTCTGCCCCTGGGAGCGGGGCAGGCACAGCACACAGGGGGGTGAGATTGGAGAGGAGTCAGGATTTAAACAGCAAAATTGGGGAACAGTTATTTCCCAAAAGAGAGAGAGCTGCTGTGTGTGGAGAAGGGAGCCTGGGGCTGCGTTGCTGCACGTTCCTGTGCTGGGAGCACGGCTGGTTCCTGCTCCAGCAGCCCTGGGGAGCACTGGGTGTGTGAGCTGGAGCTGCCAGAGGCAGGTTCTGCCCGGCTGTGTGGGTGTCTCAGGGCACTGCATGGTGATGTGATCCATCCACAGGCACCCCAAACTGCCTTGGCATCTCTGCAGCCGCGTGGCTCCCCAGGAGCTGTCGGGAACAGAGCGAACACGCTGTCCATGCCTGCGTGCTGACACAAGGAACACACGTGTTCCCCCTTCCTGCATCACCCACGTCCTTTGTCCTGTCCTTCTGCTGCTGACAAGGTTCTGGTGACTGGTCTGAAGCAGAAGGTTCCTTCAAATTGTAAATAGAATCCACACCACTGAAGCCATTCAGTCCTGGAATAATATTTAGAGCAGTTTGTTTCTTTTTTTTTTTTTAATAAGAATTTCAGGATTTTAAGCCTTCACAGAGAAGACACAGGTTTGGTGGGATATTTACCATTAAATATCAGCCAGGCAGCAGCGGGGGAGAAATTTATTGCAGTGTTAGGGAGTAGGCAAGGGTGAATTTAGTTTATTAAAATACATTTCTAGTATGATAACCAGGATATTCACCAAAGAGTCACATTCCTTTATCCTGCTCTGCACATCCAGCATTAGGACTTGAATTGTAAGTGGCATGTCTTGTCCTCTGACAGAACTCGCCTCCTGGGCAAAGCAAAATTGTTTCTTGACAACTGGAGCAGAGGATCCAGGGCTGGGCTGTTTATTCCTGGCTCTCCACTGACTTGGGAAATAACCCTGAGCCCTTCCTTGCCCCAGTTTCCACCCAGCCAGGTGGGGCAAGTGCAATTTTGCCTTTTTCTTGTTTCAGGCAAGCAGGTCCTGCCAGATTTTCTGTTTTACCTCCTTCATTTGGGAGCCTGAGTTGGGGGACAGCAGATTGCCTCTAGCAATAAACCAAGATACAATATTAATTCCATTTCTTTTACTATATATAGATGGAGGATGAAGAGAATTGGTTAAACAAGCAATGAGATTCTAGTCAGTGAAATTATTCAAACAGAAGAGAAATCTTTAATCCTTGGGGCTTCCGAGCCAGCTGGATCAAAGAGGAAAATGTGTGCTTGGAGGTTGTTCAGTGACAGCCAGCACAGGCTTTCAGCAGGGGGGAAGGAGGAACCTTTTAGGGATGGAAGAAGGAGGAATGTGCTTCTTGTGCCTTTTTTGTAATCTGATAATTGTCTTTGCAGAGCAAGCAAGAATGTGCACACATCTATTACTCACTCCTTTCCCAAATATAGCTGTATTCCAATAAAATCCAGCAACTTCACAGGATAAAAAGAGTTCCAGTGTCTTCACTGGACACATTTAAAACTCCCTGATATTTACAAGATAGAAAAAACCTAAACCAGCCCATCCTTTAGCCCCATAACTCCAGAATCCATCAGCTGTGTCAGGGGGTGCTGCTTTCCAGAGCGTCCTGGTGAGTTGTTCCTGCTGCCTGTCCAAGCTCTGCTGCTGTGGCACAGCCAGACCTCTGCAGAGGCCTTTGGTTATCTGATGCCTTCTGTAATTTCAAATGTGCACTTTGAAGCAAAAATCCCAAAGTTGTGGCTCTGTGGGGAGCAAAACTGCAGCTGATTAATGCCAGCTGGGACTGGGAGGATTTGGAGTGTGCTGGATGTCAACAGGAACCAGTTGTTGGCCCAGCTGAACCCAGTCACCAGTTCTGATATGTTCCTTAGCAGCCATTCAGAGCTGTGACAAGTTCCCATGGGCCAGCAGTCCAACTGGGAATTTCCAGTTCTCAAAAATGTTACTCCTAGCTGTGTTTTTGTTCCTTTATTGCTGTTTTTGAAATTCAAAGTAATCCATTTTTTTTCTCCTTTTCTCTTTTTCTCCTTGGCTGGGAGTCCTGTTAAATTTTTTCTTTGCCATCACCAACAATCATCCTCGTAATACAGCAGCAGCAAATTTCAGCTCTGGGTGATGAATCTCAGGAAAGTTGGACAGGAGCATTTGGTGTCACCAGAGCAAAACTCAGCAGCCAGAGGAAAAGCCAGCACTCAGCCCAGGGATAAGCCAGCTCAGCTGTGTAAGAGTTCCTGCCACTGCCTTTCTGCCCTGCTTAGGGATTTGTACCACAGAGACCTTTAAAGTTTTTGACATTCCCCTCAATATGTGATGAGGCAGCTTTATTTTGGAGATTGCTGTTACTTGAACTGGAAGCAGATGCAGGGGAAGGGAGCAGGGGCTCAGCTCAGCCTCAGAAATTTCCGCCTTTTTAAACCAAAAACTTGAGCTTTTCGACACTAGCCATGACCTTGCACTCCACCAATGCTTTCCTCTGGAAATGTGAATAAAATTAATATACATTCACACCTGGTTTGTTTCTTCTGTGTGTGGGGCTGACCTCAGCAGTGTCAGGGACACAGAGCTGGGTTGGCACTGGGAGGATTTGGTCATCACTTGTTGTCCTTCCCCTAAACCTAAACCTGGCAGTCACAGCACAAGGCAGCATCTTCATTTTTGTCTTTTTTTGTCTGTGTCTTATCTCTGTACTCGAGCTCTCCCTGATGTGTTCACAGGACAGCACTGACTGCTGCAGCTGTGCCTGATCCCCAATTCCTCACTTTCCTTTGCTGCTGCCAGGTTTTAATCTTAAAATCCTGGGATGATTTGGGATGGAAGGGACCTTAAAGTAAAAAACTGTTATTCCTGCTTCCAGATCTCTGCCTGAGAGCCCCTTGATTTCAAAATTATAATAATTTGGAGGGAGGGAACCTACATTTTCATTCCAAGGTAGGCTCCTGCCCTCCCTAGCAGACACCTGTGTTCCAATCCGGGACAGAATCCACTCCCTGTGTCCTGTCCCTCCAGTCCCTTGTCTAAAGTCCCTCTCCAGCTTTCCCAGAGACCCTGGAGGCACTGGAAGGTTCATGGTTTGCTCTCTAATTCCTTAATCCCTCGTGGTTTCCTATCACAAACAATCCCAGAACTCTTCATCTCCTTAAAGCAGCTCCCAAAGTTGGGTTTTTAACTAAAATTAGCAAGACCTTGTTCTCAGTTTGAATCCGTGTTAAAACTGCATTTTGGGGTCCATTTTCCCTTTCCTTAATGCCCCCCTGAGCTTCTTCACTGTGTCCCTAACCATGATAATGACCTCACCTCTTTGTGCCCTAATTGTAATTAGCTGATAAATTGACCTGCACCTGCCGCAGGTCACCTGTCCAAGGACTGAGGGCACAGGGCCACATTGGCAGCTGAGGTTTGCAAACCTTCTGAAACTAAAAATATTGGAGAGTTGGCTCCCAGCCATAATTTCTAAACTCTCCCATCTTCGGGGTAAACATTGGCTCTCATTGGTTTTTCCCTTCCAACGTTTTTGCTTCTATTTAAACCGTGGCTTGTTTGCTTTTGTTGCTGTGATCGGATTCCCGGTCTGGGGAGCGGGGCTGCTTGGAACAGGCTCGGGAACATCAAATGCTGCTTTGTACTCTTGCTGGTTCCCTCGGGGCTGTGCTGGCTCGTGTGGCTCTGTCCTTGCACTCAGGGAGATCTGAGGAGAGCCACAGCAGCGATTTTTTTCCCCCCCCACAATTTTGATGGAGAAGTTTGAGCAGAGCAAGAAGCATCAATCATTCAAATGGTTGATTGCATTTGCAGATTATTCTGCTCAGGCAAACATGGAAATTTTTTTTGTCCCAGTCATATTTCTCCTAGGGCAGGGAAAACCTGTGGCTGATCTTTTTGCCTGCTCAAGTTATTCTTTCAGCTGTGATCATGCTCTGTGGGGCTGGTTTGTCCCTTGTGCCAAGACCCATCACACAATGTTCAGTGGGGTTTGCAAAGCCATTGGAGGGGCTGGAGGGGTCTCTCATTTTACCAGGTAAGCTGCAGGTGGCTGTGGGTGTACGAGGAACTGGGGTACACACCCCTGTTCTCACCTTCTCGTACTGCCTGGATCCTGCACCACCCTGGTCTCCACAACAAACCTCATCTGACAACCTAAAATTCCCAAATCCTACACCTTTCTCTGGAGCAGGAGCTGTAAAGACAAATCACTGCACTCTCCTGGCAGCCCAAGCCAGTGGAAAGGACGTGGGGATGGATGGAGGGGGAGCCTGCTGTCTCCATCCTGCACTCTGCAGCTGACAGGCAAATTCCAGCCTCAGGAGAAAGAGAGTGGTGGCATTAGAGGAAAAAGGAGTCTTGGAGGGGTTCAGGAGAGCTGCTGTGCTCTGTCCAGCCAGCTGCAGAAGTGCCCAACCTTTCCCAAATAACACTTATTATTTATGGACTTGGCCTGTGACCATCTGTTTTCTTCTCCTTGCCACCACGTACAGCCTCAGCATATTAACTGCCCCACGACACTTTCTCCTCTCCACATTATTCACCATCCAGACACTTCTAATGTAAGCAAGATATTTGTTGGAGTCGGATACATTTGCTGCTGGAACATTTCCAGCTGTTTCTTCAAGAAATGTGCTGAAGGCCTTTGTAGAAGGGTATCAGTGCCAGAGCACCCCGAGGTTTTCTCCCTGGAAACCCCTTCCCACCCACTCCCATCCTGGACCAGGGCACTGGTGCCTTCAATCGGGTGCTTTGTCCTCGAGAAAAGGGTTGTGGCTTCAGCACCATTCAGCCTGGGGCCCTCACATGTGGTTCCTTTTGGGCCATAGAGTGGCGTTTTGCAGCAATGCTGGTTGAAGGAGCTTTTTAAAGCAGAGCTGTGTCCCCTTCAGCACTGGAGTGTTCAGAAACGCTTCCCAAAGGTTGTTCCAAAGGGAGGTGGTTTCCATGGTTGGGGTCGTGGCTGTGCTGGAATCCAGCAGTGCTGTGGGTCAGCCTTGCCAAAATGTGCTTTGTGCACCCTCGAGAGGGATTTTCCACTTCAGGCTCAGGTGCCCGGAGCCCGTGGCTCCAGGGTTTGTTATCCCTGGCAGGACTGGAGCAGGGGAGGCTGTGCTGTGTCTCTGCTGCTCAGAGTGGGACCACACAACTATTCAATGAGTCTCCAGATGGTTTTCACACCGTCTTGAACTCATCTCTCTCATGGGTGGAATTGAAAAAGGCCAGAGAAGAGGCTGGGATATAAATTTCCCTGTTCCCAAGCATGTCTGTGCTGCTGGTTGATGGCTGGGGAAGGCCTTGCTCTTCGTTTCAGAAGAAACACAACAGTCAAAATGTTGATTTTTGTTTTCTTTCCCACAAACAGGTAATTTCCTCCTCCTTGTGCTTTGCCAGCACACACCACATCAATCCCCTTCCTTTCCATGAATGCTGCACATACGTGTGAGCCCACAGGCATCCCCTTCTCTTCAGCACCGTCCCTCCTTCCCAGCACCATCCACTCCCTAAATGCCCCTGACCTGTCCCGGGGCTGTTGGGTGTCCCTTGGGCCTGGTGGGGTAAAGGCAGACCCCCAGATTTCCCTCCAGGTCCTCCAAATCCTGTCACAAAACAGCAGGAAGATGCTTTTGGGTGGCAGCAACGCAGCTCCAGCAGCATCTCAGCCTCCCCTGCTCCCACTGGGGCAGGTGCAGACCCTGGGCATGGCAGAGAGCCCAGGCTAAACCTGAGCAAACCGTGCTGGATCCACAGCTGGAGACAGGAGCTGTGCTGGGGTGACCCAAAGCGAGCAGGAACCCCAGGGTGCCCAGAGAGGAGAGGTTCCAGCAAACACTTGGGATTCTGTTGGATCCCTTTGCCCTCAGGGTGCTCCCAGCTGCAGTCCAGGCCGGGCTGGAAGCAGAACGAAGCCTCGAAGCTGTGGTTGGTGCTGTGCTGCTCATCTTGTTACAGCAGCGAGTCTCCAGCAAAGGCAGCTCTGGGAATTGCTTCCACAAGGGATGGGAGGCCCCTTTCCCACTCTCCAGAAATCAGCCAGTAGGGTTTCTGCGTCTTCCTTGCTGCTTTCTCTGTTTCCCAGGATTTTGCAAAACTCTGAGCTGAGCAACCTATTTGGAAGGAAACTGCCCTGAAATGGGCAGTTGATAAAGGAACCGTTTACATTTCAAATAAATAAAACATTTTTGGCTTTGGATCAAAACCAAGTTGTGTTCAGTGTTACCAATTTCAGTGAGTCATTTCTTTTTATACCCAGGCAGTTTCTCTTACAAAATGTGCATGAGGACTCACTGTAAGCAGGGCAGGAAGCAGACTGCGGGTTTTTTACTATTGCACAAGGTTTCCCCAGGACACAGCCACCAAAGCTTTTCTCTTGCCTTGAAGCTGGTGCTTGTTTATGTCTGTTTACAAGCTAATTCCATTTAGAGTGATTCTGTGGATGACTCTATTGTATGCTAGCGCTGTATTTCCAGATGGATGTTGCAAGTAACTCTGTATCCACTACAAATGGAAAAGCTTTATAAACTTGGAGTTCTGATCATGGAGCCAAGAAACTTTCTTGCAGGCAGGCTAAAAATCCAGGGTTTGCCCCTGTAACTGCTGAGGAAAGGACTGGACATGAGCACAGAGAAAATAGCTCCTGTCCACTTGGAACCACTAAGAGCTTGTGGTGATAACCAGGAGGAGAATAATATGTTAATGTCCCCCAAAAATCAATATCCAGCCCAGCTGGAGACTTGCCATGGCTCAACCATGAGCTTTGGCTCTCACCCACACTTGAGAGGTGCTGAAGTAGCACCAAAGACATCAGGGGTTCAGTCTTTTGTGGTGAGGTGATGGAGCTCCTTGCTGCAGTCCAGGTCCTCCCCAGGAGCATTCTGGCACCCATGTGAGATGGATGTGATCTTCCTGCATGAGCTTTGCCAGGGGGAAGAGCTGGGAATAGGTTTTTAAGTCCTTTGGGTTGTTAGAAAGCAGGCAATTCATCTTTGAAGAGGAGTATGATGTATTAAAGTGAATTCTCCAAGTGGTGCTTGATCTTAAATCCTAGAAAGCATCCAAAAGAGGCCACAAGGATGCTGAAGGCTCAGGAGGGGCCACACGAGGAGTGGCTGAGGGCACTTGGTGCATTCAGCTGGAGCAGAGGAGACTGAGCCCAGACCTCCCTGGGGGCTTCAGCTCCTCCCGAGGGGCAGCTCTGATCTCTGCTCTGGGACAGGGACAGACCCAGGGAACGGCTGGAGCTGGGCAGGGCAGGCTCAGGCTGGATTTAGGGAAAGGTTCTTCCCCCAGAGGTGCTGGCACTGCCCAGGCTCCCCAGGGAATGGGCACGGCCCCGAGGATGCCAGAGCTGCAGGGATGCCCAACTGGGGGTGCTGGGGGTCAGGGTTGGATCCATGACCCTGTGGGTCCTTCCAGCTCAGGACATTCCAGGATTCCGTGACCTTCCAGGGTGCTCAGCCAGAGCAGTGGCATCTGCACCCCTTTAAGATGTGTCTGGTCAAGATCATCCACCACTTCCCCTGAAA